TTTTTTATACAGATTATTTCTTGTATACACTTGTATAGTAGAAAGTACAGACAGCTCTAAATGCGCCGAATAGATATCTACAGTTTAAAATGAGTGTTTAAATTTACCGGTACTTTAAAGTACCGTCGGGACACAAAGGGTTAATCCCTTGCGACTTGTAAATAACCTTTTAAAGTATTTGATAAATAAATAAACAATTACATAAATTTTATTATAAATTAATATTAACGATTTTTCGCTGCTTAACCTCTCCTAAATTTGACAATGTTTGCCATATAACCTCCATTACTAACCTAACTAGAGATGGGTTGTTATTTAACTATCTGTTATTTTGTAACTGTTATTTCTTGGTAACAGTTGACAACTGTTATCTGTCAAATAAAATAACAGGTTCTAAAATAACAGTGTGAAGTTGGCGTTTTCGCTCAAGCGAATTTTCAATGATTTTTCAATATAATTTAAAACAAAAAGTCACATGAATAAAATACTGTTCGAAATGCTGATAAATATAGAAAAATGTTAGTTTACTGAGATTATTTCATTTCTTTATTTGCTTTGTGGATGTCGGCCGCCTCAAGTATTGTTCCTGATAGAAAAGATATTCTCCGCCGACTTCGAAGACGTCGGCCGCCCCAAGTATTGTTCGTGATAGAAAAGACAATCTCGGCCGACTTCGAAGACGTCGGCCGCCCCAAGTATTGTTTGTGATACATGGGGTGGCCGACGTCTTCAAAGTCAGCCGAGATTATTTCTTATATCACGAACCATACTTGGGGCACTAAAAACGAACTACACTATACAGCATCGGATGCTGTAAGGAGTCTCATTACAGCACCCGTTTGAGTACTGTTATAGCTTTCATTACCATCGCGAACTACAAAAATTAATTTAACACTTAAAATTAATAAAAAAAATTTGTTTTAAAGGTTTTGTTGTGAAGCTGAACGTCGATTGGGTTCTCAAAAAGGAATAGATGAATTAAAATTAATTCCGTTCTTTCGAGGAGTTGATTGGGAGCATATTAGAGAACGACCTGCTGCTATACCAGTAGAAGTACGATCAATCGATGATACGTCTAATTTCGATGATTTCCCCGATGTTAAATTAGAAATTCGTATGTTAATTAGATTTGTTTTAAGCGTTGTAATTAATTCTTTTTTTTGTAGCTTCAGCCCCAATGACACAAGAAGGTGATGTAACGTACAAAGACTGGGTCTTCATTAATTATACATTTAAAAGGTTTGAAGGGTTAACTCAAAGGGGAACACCGACAAAAAAATAATGCAAATTGAAAGTATTTGTCAAGAAAAAAGGTGAAGAAAAAAGGATAGAAAGGAAGAACGTGTTGTGTAGCTGATTGTTTTATTTGTTTATTTGCCCGCTATTTTTTTTTTGGAGAAAGAAAGTGTTCTAATAGATAATTTAGGGCTTGTATAATAGGTCTGAAAAGATAATTTACGTTTTTTCCTCTTTAGAAATTATTATTACGAATTATTATAAATATTGATTTTTTTAATTGTAAATTTTTGAGGAGCTGTGAGAAGTGAAGCAGTTAAAAAAGTGTTTGACTCTCTTAGTAAAAAAATAATAACGGTCGTATTTTAATTAGGTATTAATCTTTAAAAAAAAAAAAATTAAAAAAAGCTTTGAAACTTTTTTTTAGTTTTGTCAGCGATTTAGTGTTTATTATTTTTTATTTCTTTTAGCGGTTTTTCAACTGTGATATATAATTTTATTTTATTTTTCATTTATAAATAAAAATCATTTTTATGAACCATAATATTAATTAATTAATTGAGCATCAGTTTTTTTTTGTCTTCGATTATAAATACTTGAAGTTTTGAAACAATCCCATCCAAACCCAACCCAAAATAAAAAATTAAAAGTAATAGAAAAGATTTAACATACAAGACAATCTGTACTGAGAGAACTATTTTTCTTATTAAAGTATTAAAATCGAAACCAAAGTATTTATAATCGTTAAAAAGAAAACGAAATAAATTCGCATAGTCCATGAGGCACAAGAGTTTAAATAAATAAATATAACCTTAAATTTGTCTTGTCCTTTTATTATTATTTTTTTTTAGGAGCTTTCGCTCGAAAAATGTGCAAAAATGGTGTCGTAGGAAAAGATTTAAAAAAAGTATTTTTGTCGAAAAGGGAGTGCTAAAGTAGGTCTTTTAAAAATTAAAGTTGCTCTCTGCTACTACTACACAGACACATAAAATAACCTGCAAACACTAGTTAGATTAATTAACGTTATTATTTTTTTTTGTTATTTATTACATAAAAAATCTTGTATGTATTTATAGTTAGTTGGTTTCTTGTAGTTAAAAGAGGACGACTTGTGTACATAATTTGAAGAAAGATGAAAATGTGTATAACGTAAAAAATGGAAATAAAGAAATAAAGTTTATTAAAATATATACGCTTTGAAGAAAATTCTATTTAATTATTTACATCACACCTCAAACTATTTAATGTCAAATTGACATTAAATTTAAGCCGGTAGCTGTGGGGATCAATGGCAGCCAGCGTCGTTAGAATTATGGAGTTTATTGAGGAAATTATGACAAAATTTAGTTATTTGGATATTTTGAAACGCAATTTACGTCAAAGCTCTCAAAAACTTAACTTTCCGACTGTGTTCTGGTTCCAACAAGATAATGATCCAAAACATATGTCATATCTTGTGAAAGAATGGTTATTATACAGAGTGTCCGGAAATGACGTGTACAACGCAAGACCACATGTACCTTGACCAAAAATATGATAATTTAACTCAATTTATCTATATACAAAATTGCTTAGTTTAGCCGCTAGAGGGCTTTAAAAATAATATATTTTTTTAAATAAGTCGAAAAATCCTCCATGTATTTTATTCATTTTTTGGTCATGCGATTGTATCAGTATACTACAGCTATTTGTGGAATGCACTCTAATTTTGACAATTATAGGTGTTTAAAAACTTTGTCACCATAAATTATGCATCCATATCTTTTTAACCCCTTTACAAACACTACGATTTTTTTTTACTGAATAATTACTTTAATTTAGAAACTATTTTCTTCAATTTTGTATATAGATAAGTTGAGTTAAATCATCATATTTTTGGTCAAGGAAGTACAACGGAAGACCACAAGTAGGTCTTCCGTTGTATACGTCATTTTCGGACACCTGTATAACACACCAAAATAACTGAAAACACCACATATTTTTTATGACCAGAAAAATGGCAAGAGTTGTACTATTTTGGAAACTTGACTAAGCAGGCCATCTTTTAAAATTACTTGCCAAGGGTGTTGTACTACTCCTTTTTTTAGAAATCGTGTGTCAAACTTGATAGACATAAATTCTTTCAACCTTAACTCAATCAAATTAACAGAGGCGGCGCTACCGGGGGGTGCAAGGGGTGCACTGCACCCGGGCGCCGCCTAAAAGTTGGCGCCGGCGCCTTTTTAATGTTTTCTCCAACAATATCTTATCTTTCTTTTGTAGTATTTAGACCTGTCAGCAGTATCTAGTCTTCAGAAAGCAGTATTTAGTCTCCACAAAGCAATTTTAGTCTTTAGAAGGCAGTATTTAGTGTTCCAGACGCTGTATTTAGACCTGTCGGAAGTATCTAGTCTTCAGAAAGCAGTATTTAGTCTTCTAGAAGCAGTATCTAGTCTTCTGCCAAAGTTATGTATGTTTTCTCCAAAATATTTTATCTTTCTTTTGCAGTATTTAGACCTGTTAGCAGTATCTAGTCTTCAGAAAGCAGTATTTAGTCTCCACAAAGCAATTTTAGTCTTTAGAAGGCAGTATTTAGTGTTCCAGACGCTGTATTTAGACCTGTCGGAAGTATCTAGTCTTTAGAAAGCAGTATTTAGTCTTCTAGAAGCAGTATCTAGTCTTCTGCCAACGTTATGTATGTTTTCTCCAACAATATTTTATCTTTCTTTCGCAGTACTTAGACCTGTCAGCAGTATCTAGTTTTCAGAAAGCAGTATTTAGTCTCCACAAAGCAATTCTAGTCTTTAGAAAGCAGTATTTAGTGTTCCAGATGCTGTATTTAGACCTGTCGGCAGTATCTAGTCTTCAGAAAGCAGTATTTAGTCTCCACAAAGCAATTTTAGTCTTTAGAAAGTAGTATTTAGTGTTCCAGATGCTGTATTTAGACCTGTCGGCAGTATCTAGTCTTCAGAAAGCAGTATTTAATCTTCCAGAACAGTATCTAGTCTTCAGAAAGCAGTATTTAGTTTTTTAGAAGCAGTAGATCTTTTTGGGGGCCTCTTATTATCTATACGGATCTTGTACCACCCGGCACCTCATTTCTGCAGCTGTTACTTTGCTTTTGTGCTTATCCTGCATTGGCAAAGTTTCCGTATTGGTGATTTCCTGTCCTGTGCAATAACAAGACAAGTCCATTGGTTTCTTGATCATATTCTTCGCATTCTTTTATTGAACACATAAGTATTGCCATGAAAAATCATGTTTGGTTTGTAATCAATTTTTTGTTTTCTCTGAACAGTAATTTCAGACTTCATGTGGACTTTGAACAATGTAACTACAGTCATCTCTACAGTTTATCTATAAACATTCCTATACCTATTTATTGTAGTTTCTCTCATATTGGGAAATTTATCAAAACATGCAGGATATGCAGGTTTGCACATTTTGCCAGTTTTTCGCTTAATTTATTTCTATTAGATACCATTGATAATCTTTTAGTTTACTAGCTTTTACTTACCAAAAATAATAAACAGAAAATCAAATAAATGAAACAATTAAAATAAAAAATTAATGACAAAAATTAGATTTGGATAAAAATATAAATTTTTAATATAAATTTGTTATTAAATTGAATTTGGAAATGCAATAAAATACGATAAAATATTTATTTCGTTGTCTTCAAAGAATTAAATTCTCTTTCTGATAGGCTAAAAAAAAATATGGGGCGTTCCATTTAAAATTATCGAGTTTCTCGCCATTGAATATGAAGAAGCAGTAATTCAATTTTTGACCACCCTGTATAAGATACTCCGATACACCAAATGACAATCTATTTGACAACATCTGAAGAGTAATCGTGCCAATGTAGATCTTTTTTGAATGAACGTTGGCTGAGATATGGGGTTTTAAAGGAGCATATTGAA